CTGGGAATCAGCCATAGCTGCTTGCTCCGCCCTGTTGATTCCGAGACCCCGCCCCATTCAGGCTGCTGCAAAGCCTTTTGCATATGAATGCCCGGGTCCTTTACAACCTGACAACTACCTAACAAATTGCAGCTGGGCCAGACAGACCCAGAACTTCCAAGAGAAGGCCCAAGGCCCCACAGCAGCTTGCATTGCTTCTCAGCTGGGCCTCATCTGGGCACCCCCAAACCCCCAAAAAAGGAAGGGGAATCTGCATATCTCTTCATAGCTCCTGCTGGGTAACCTCAGGAAGAGGCTTAATTAGCACCTCCTTAGATCCAAGAGCCAGTGTACCCAGTGGTCAGAGTGGGACCACCCAGATTACAACTCCTCAGATTCATAAGGAACACACTCAGGGGGCAGACTCAGTGAGCACCAAAGCCCCACTGAAGCAAGTCTTGCCCCAGAAGGGTGTCTTCAGCACAGAAGTTCTCCCACTGCAGACACAGCTGATTCTCACTGCCAATTGGCCTGGAGGTCAATTCCTCCCAGTGACACCTAAAACAATCAAGGCATAACTACAACAAGACTGTGCACAAAGCCCACAAGGGGGTGCACCAAGAGTGTCCACCTCAGGTAACTGGGGAGGCTGAGCCACTGGGCCCTGTAGGACACCTAGCACACAAAACCACTCTACCAACACAGGGAAGCAGACAAAATGCGAAGACAAAGAAACAGGTCACAAATGACAGAAATGGAGGACAGCAAACGACTGGATATAGAGTTCAAAACCACGGTTCTAAGATTTTTCAAGAATTTTATGGAAACCGCCGATAAATGTATTGAGATCCTTAAGAAATCTAGTGAGACCCTCGATGTTGTGATAAAGGACCAACTAGAAATTAAGCATACACTGACTGAAATAAAGAATATTATACAGACTCCCAACAGCAGACCAGAGGATCGCAAGAATCAAGTCAAAGATTTGAAATACGAAGAAGCAAAAAACACCCAACCGGAAAAGCAAAATGAAAAAAGAATCCGAAAATACGAAGATAGTGTAAGGAGCCTCTGGGACAGCTTCAAGCGTACCAACATCCGAATTATAGGGGTGCCAGAAGAAGAGAGAGAGCAAGATATTGAAAACCTATTTGAAGAAATAATGACAGAAAACTTCCCCTACCTGGTGAAAGAAATAGACTTACAAGTCCAGGAAGCGCAGAGAACCCCAAACAAAAGGAATCCAAAGAGGACCACACCAAGACACATCATAATTAAAATGCCAAGAGCAAAAGACAAAGAGAGAATCTTAAAAGCAGCAAGAGAAAAAAAGTCAGTTACCTATAAGGGAGTACCCATACGACTGTCAGCTGATTTCTCAACAGAAACTTTGCAGGCCAGAAGGGAGTGGCAAGAAATATTCAAAGTGATGAATAGCAAGAACCTACAACCAAGATTACTTTATCCAGCAAAGCTATCATTCAGAATTGAAGGTCAGATAAAGAGCTTCACAGATAAGGAAAAGCTAAAGGAGTTCATCACCACCAAACCAGTATTATATGAAATGCTGAAAGGTATCCTTTAAGAAGAGGAAGAAGAAGAAAAAGGTAAAGATACAAATTATGAACAACAAATACACATCTATCAACAAGTGAATCTAAAAATCAAGTGAATAAATAATCTGATGAACAGAATAAACTGGTGATTATAATAGAATCAGGGGCATAGAAAGGGAGTGGACTGACTATTCTTGGGGGGGAAAGGGGTGTGGGAAGAGACTGGACAAAAATCGTACACCTATGGATGAGGACAGTGGGGGGGAAAGGGCAGAGGGTGAGGTGGGAACTGGGTGGAGCGGAGCTATGGGGGGGAAAAAGAGGAACAACTGTTAATAATCTGAACAGTAAAGATTTATTTAAAAAAAAAAAGATCTTTGTCCAATCTCTTTCCGCACCCCCCTCCACACCCCCTTCACCCTGAGAATTGTCAGTCCGCTCCATTTCCATGCCCCTGATTCTATTACATTCACCAATTTATTCTGTTCATCAGATTTTTTATTCATTTGATTTTTAGATTCACTTGTTGATAGATATGTATTTGCTGTTCATAATTTGTATCTTTACCTTCTTCTTCTTCCTCTTCTTAAAGGATACCTTTCAGCATTTCATATAATACTGGTTTGGTGGTGATGAACTCCTTTAGCTTTTCCTTATCTGTGAAGCTCTTTATCTGACCTTCAATTCTGAATGATAGCTTTGCTGGATAAAGTAATCTTGGTTGTAGGTTCTTGCTATTCATCACTTTGAATATTTCTTGCCATTCCCTTCTGGCCTGCAAAGTTTCTGTTGAGAAATCAGCTGACAGTCGTATGGGTACTCCCTTATAGGTAACTGACTTTTTTTCTCTTGCTGCTTTTAAGATTCTCTCTTTGTCTTTTGCTCTTGGCATTTTAATTATGATGTGTCTTGGTGTGGTCCTCTTTGGATTCCTTTTGTTTGGGGTTCTCTGCGCTTCCTGGACTTGTAAGTCTATTTCTTTCACCAGGTAGGGGAAGTTTTCTGTCATTATTTCTTCAAATAGGTTTTCAATATCTTGCTCTCTCTCTTTTTCTGGCACCCCCATAATTCGGATATTGGTATGCTTGAAGTTGTCCCAGAGGCTCCTTACACTATCTTCATATTTTTGGATTATTTTTTCTTTTTGCTCTTCCAGTTGGGTGTTTTTTTGCTTCCTTGTATTTCAAATCTTCGACTTCATTCTTGGGATCCTCTAGTCAACTGTTGAATCCCTGTATATTATTCTTTGTTTCAGTTAGTGTATGCTAAATTTCTGACTGGCACTTTTCCATTTTTTTTTGTCATTCTCACCAAGATCCTTGAAGGTCTCAGTAAGTTCCTCGGACGTTTCTAGAAGATTCTTGAGTAATCTTATAACTGTGGTTTTGAACTCTATATCCAGTAGTTTGCTTTCTTCCATTTGTGACATGTTTCTTTGCCTCCGCATTTTGGCTGCTTCCCTGTTTGTTTCTATGTATTGGGTAGCTGCTAAGTCTCCTTGAGTTGATAGAGTGGCCTTGTGTGGTAGGTGTACTATAGGGCCCAGTGGCTTGGCCTCCCCAATCACCTGATGTGGACACTCTTGGTGCACCCCTTTGTGGGCTGTGTGCACAGTCTTATTGTAGTTGAGCCTTGATTGCTGTTGGTATCACTGGGAGGAATTGATCTCCAGGCCAGTTGGCTGTGAGGACCAGCTGTGTCTACAATGGAAGAGCTGCTGTGCAGGAGTCACCCTTATGGGGCAGGACTTGCTTTCCTGGGGCTTTGGTGCTCCCGGAGTCTGCCCCTTTAGTGTGTCACTTATGGATGTGAAGAGTTGTAATCTGGTATGGTCTCACACTGACCACTTGATACACTGGCTCTTGGATTTCCAAGGAGGTGCAAAGTCAGCCACTGCCTGAGGCCACCCAGCAGGAGCTACAGAGAGATCTGCAGATTCCTCCTCTTTGTATCAGGTTTGGAAGTGCTCAGACGAGGCCCAGCTGTGAAGCAAGGCAGGCTGGTGTGACCTTGGGCCTTCTTTTGATAGCTGTGGGAGCTCCCTGACCCAGCTGCACCTTGTTTGACAGGTTTTAGGCTAAGAAAGGACAGGCCATTCATATGCAAAAGCCACTGAAGCACAGCTTGGTGGCTTTGTAAATTGGGTAGGGCGGGCTCTCAGGGAATCTCCAGTGTGGAGCAAACAGAAATGGCTGCCAGTCAGCCCTGCACCGGGGAGGTCCCAGTACAGGAACAATGACCGTTGCGAGCACCTCAGTCTGGAAGAAAGCTGCCCCTGCGTTCCTGCCCCAATGCCAGATAGTTGTTTCTCCCCATATGTGTCTGGGTCCCCCCAAGTCTCACCCGGCACTGGAGCTCAGAGCAAGCGGGAGCTTGCATCCCCCTCTCAATGAAAAAAGCAGCACACCCGGGTGTCAGCCCGTTCTGTGCCTCTGCACCTGCTACCAGTCTCAATGCGCTTTCTTCTTTACCTCTCTAGTTGTAGTACTTCCACTCAGCCAGGTTTCCCGAGGTTCTGGATGATAGTTATGTATTTTAGTTGTAATTTTGATGTGGTTGTGGGAGGCAGCAAGTACTGCTGTTTACCTATGCCGCCATCTTGGTTTTCTCCGCAAATTTATTTTCTTAATTACATTTGGGTCACACTTTAGAATCTAATTTGCGTCTTAGTCTAGTTTTGACGTATTCAGGGTTTGTAAAGAAAAGCCATTACAGTATATAAAACTGTTGTGAATAATCTACAGGTGGAGTACAATAAAGAGACTATGCTAAAGATATCAGTATTAGTCTATGTAACTATTTACAACCTCTCATATCTACTTGAGAAAATGAAGAAATATTTTACTGGCTTGCCTTGTTATGTTAGACTATGAGCTATATAGTATATAACCCTAAACACTAAATTCATTCTGATGGAATCTCTAGCCCATAAGATTTTCAAACTATTCAATTTTTAATTTCTTATAACTTTAGCTTTAATCAATGTCAGATTCCTTTAATATAAGTCAGCACAACATCTAGCTCAGCCGTGGGCAAACTACAGCCCGCGGGCCAGATCCGGCCCGTTTGAAATGAATAAAACTAAAAAAAAAAAAAAAAAAGACCGTACCCTTTTATGTAATGATGTTTACTTTGAATTTATATTAGTTCACACAAACACTCCATCCATGCTTTTGTTCCGGCCCTCCGGTCCAGTTTAAGAACCCATTGTGGCCCTCGAGTCAAAAAGTTTGCCCACCCCTGATCTAGCTCCTTCCTTTTTGGTCAGTAAGGCTCTATCTTGCTGGGCTCTTTTAATCATACTCAGGGGGGTGGAAGGGAATGGAGTTCTCATTTCCAATGGGATAGGCCTGGGTCTTCACAGTTTGTGCTGTTTGCTCTTTTCTAGCAATTGCTTCTTCTTCTCACAGCGCTCTTCAAAACCAAAGGTGGCAGGGGAATATCTAGTTGCAGGCAGTAAAAGTGGGATACACTGTTTCTAGCAGACTGACAGCAATGCCACCTTCCACATACATCTTCCAATGGGGTTATTAAGCCATCATTTATTAATCAATTTCCATCTCTGGGTCTGGATTTGGAAGCTAAGGAGAGTGATTTAGGTGGCAATAAGAAGAAATTAGAAAGCTATGATAGCTTGGCTGGCGTGGCTCAGTGGTTGAGCATTGACCTATAAACCAGGAGGTCATGGTTCGATTCCCTGTGAGGCCATATGCTCGACCCCCAGTGTAGGGCATGCAGGAGGTGGCCAATCAATGATTCTCTCTCATCATTGATGTTTCTTTCTCTTTCTCTTTCTCTTTCTCTCTCTCTCTCTCTCCTTCTCCTTTCCTTGCTAAAATCAATAAAAATATATTTAAAAAGAAAGATATGATCTATCTGCTGTGGGAGGGTCCTGCCTACGATCTTTCCTCCTTAATACTGAGGAGACTGAAATATCTCTCCTGTACTCTCTTCAAAAAGAGGAATAATTTGATAACTTACAATTAATTGTTCTTTCCATTTCCACAAATGTACTCAAATATTTGATTGATATTATTTGGAGGGGAAAAATCATTATAACCAAAAACATCTAAGGTATGCTTTTTATGAGTATGCATAGTTATTTTTAAAAAAAAAATATTTTTATTGATTTCAGAGAGGAAGGGAGAGGGAGAGATAGAAACATCAATGATGAGAGAGAATCATTGATCAAATGCCTCCTGCATGCACACTGGGGATCGAGCCCGCAACCTGAGTATGTGCCCTGACTGGGAATTGAACTGTGACCTCCTGGTTTATAGGTCAATGCTCAACCACTGAGTCAGGCCGGCAGGGCATGAATATCCTTAGTTTTAAGAGTAATAAGTATTTATTTACTAGATTATTTTCTCACTGACCACTCATATTTAACTATAGAAACTGGAAATTTATTATAGAAAGGAAATACACGTCATGAGATTCTAAAGCATCCCCAAAAATCAAATAGTTCAATAATTAAAAATAATAATTTTTAGTAACCAGAACTCAGACTGAAAACATTTTCAGCTTTCAGTCTTCACCTTGAACATAACAGTTCTAATGAACGGTACCTATCTTCCTTCCTACCTCTTGGTTAAATAGTGTCATCTTCCTGAAGATATATGCAGTATTTCCTTCTTCCGAGTGGCAGGTGACTTGGTAGCATCCATAGGATGAACTTCCTGTGGGCTCTGGCCAATACTGGTGGCACTTCACCTAAAATCAATAGATTAAAAATATATATTAAAAATTATGATATTTTAATATAACTTTCAAACTTACAGAAAAGTTACAAGAAAAATTTAATAAAATCTCATACATGCTGCACCTAGTTCTGTCCACTATTAACATTTCTTTGTCATTTTTTTCTCTTTGTAATAATCTGTCTGGATATATTTTGAGACTGCAAATATCCTGTATACAATAAGCTTTCACTCAGTGTTTTACCATGTGTGATGAATTCTTGCCTGAGTCAATTATTACTATGAGAATGGCAAAATGCTGCACTAATTTTAATCTTTTTAGATTTAAGTTAACAATGAGAAAGAATCTTCAACTAAAATGCCAAATGCAATCCATTTATTTTCACAATTAGAATTTAAAAAAACAATTAGAATTTAAAAAAAACAACAGCTTTCTTGATATATAACTCACCCATTTAAACTACATAATTCAGCTTCCAGTCAAGATGGCAGTATAGGTAAATGCTGTGCTCACTTCCTCCCACAACTACATCAAAATTACAACTAAACTACAAAACAACTTCATTCAGAACTGCCTGAAGCCTTGCTGAACTAAAGTCCTATAACTAAGGATATACAGACGCCATGTCTAGACTGGTAGGAGGGGCAGAGATGCAGAATGGGCTAGTGCCATACCAATGTGTAACAGTTAAAAATCAGGAGGGATATGGGGGCTGAGGAGGGACCCCCTGAGGAGCAAGGAGTCCCAGCGCCACACCAAGCCCCTGACCAGTGTTTCAGTACTAGGAAGTGAAGTCCCCTTAACTTTTCCCTGTGAAAACCAGCAGGGATTGTGGTTGAGTAAGACAGAGAGAGGGGCTGCTGGAATCCCAGGCATTCCTCTTTTTTAAAAATTTAAGTTGACTTAATTTTTTCTATCACCAGGCGTTCCTCTTAAAGGGGCCATACAGGGACTTACTTGGACTCACAGCAGCTTGAAAGGCACCAGGGACACAAAGGGAAAAACTGAATGGTCCAGTGAGGGCGGGAAGGACAGCTTTCTCCCAGGTAGAAGTGCTGGCAGAGACCCTCGTTTCTTTACTGAGCCTTCCCTCCATAGAGCCAGAAGGTGGATGACATATCTGAGTCTCCATCAACCTGGCTAACACTGTTGTGACTCTATGAGACCACCCCACCCAACCTGTGGGCCCACCCAATCTCTTTCCAGTGCCTTTTCCATATAAACAATTTTCCCAAAATCTCTCAAACAAGCAGCATCTGGCCTCAGTGTGCCCCGTACCTCTTGCAAAGTGGCCCCAGTCCTGGCACTCGAGGTAGCCTGCCTTAGTTAGCAGCTTGGCCTCTCCTGGGCACCTCTAAACTCAGGACAAGTAGTAGCCAACTGCAAATCACTTTGTGCTCAGGTCTGGTGACCCCAGGCAGGGCATAGGTGGCACCCGGTGAACAGCTTCAGAAAACGTCAAAGCACCACCACACAACCACCTCCACAAGTGACACACACAAGGGGCGGACCCAGCAGGCATCAGAGCCCTGCTGTAAAGTCCTGCTCTGTGGGGTCTGCCCCTGCACAGCTGATCCTGCAAGGCAGTCATAGTGAGTCCTTGCAGCCAAGTGGCCTGGGCGTAAATCCTCCCTTTGAAGTGCCAACAGCGATCAAGGTTCAACTACAACAGGAGGGTGTACTTAGCCCGCATGGGGGGCCCACCTGGAGCAGCCTGGATGACCAGGAAGGCCGTGTCATTGGGCCCTACAAGACACCTATTACTGGTATATAAGGCCAATCTACCAAGCCTGGGAGACTAACAGCCCTACTTAATACATGGAAACAAACACAGGGAGGCAGCCAAAATGAGGATACAAAGGAACATGTCCCAAATGAAGGAACAGAATAAAACTCCAGAAAGAGAACGATTCAAATTAGAGACAATCTGTTGGAAGTAGAGTTCAAAACACTGGCTATAAGGGGGCTCAATGAACTTAGGGGAAGAGTAGATGAACTCAGTGAGAACTTCAACAAATAGATAGGAAATATAAAATGGAGATAAAAACATAAAAATGGAGATAGAAAGCATAAAAAAGCACTAATCAGAAATGAAGAATACAATAACTGAAATAAAGAATACATCACAGGGGGCTCTGGCAGGTAACTCAGTTGGTTGTCCTGATATGCCAAGGTTGATCCTGGTCATGGCACATACAAGAATCAACCAATGAATGTATAAAATCAATCAATCAATACAAAATAAAAAGAATACATTACAGGAAACCAACAGTAGAGGACAGATAAAGCAGAGGATCAAATCAGTGATTTGGCAGATAAGGAAGCAGAAAACACCAGTCAGAACAGAAAGAAAAAAAAAATCCAAAAAATGAGGACAGTATAAGAAGCCTCTGGGACAATTTCGAGTGTACCAATATTAGAATCATGGGGGTACAGAAGGAGAAGAGAAAGAGCAAGAACTTGAAACCTATTTGAAAACAGTAACGACAGAAAACTACCTTAACCCAATGAAGGAAGCAGATATACAAGTCTTGGAAGCCCAGAGAGTTACATACAAGATGAACCCAAAGAAGCCCCCACCAAGACACATCATTAAAATGCCAAAGGTTGCCCTGGCTGGTGTGGCTCGGTTGGTTGGAGAGTAGTCCTATACACCAAGAGGTTGTGGGTTCAATCCCTGGTAGAGGTGTGTGGCAACCAATTGATGTTTCTTTCTCACATTGATGTTTCTCGCTCTCTCTCTCATCAATAACAACAATAACAAAAAAGCCAAAGGTTAAAGACAAAGAGAGATTCTTGAAAGCAGCATGAGGAAAGTAATTAGTTACTTACAAGGGAGCTCCCGTAAGACTGTCAGCTGATTTCTTAACAGAAACTTTGCAGACCAGAAGGGATTGGCAAGAAATATTCAAACTGATGAGAAGAAGGACCTATAACTAAGATTACTCAGCAAAACTATCATTAAGAATTGAAAAAAGAGATAAAAGAGCTTCCCAGATAAGAAAAAGCTAAAGAAATTCATCACCACCAAACCAGTATTACAAGAAATGTTCAAGGGTCTTCTCTAAAAGAAGGGGAAAAAATAGATAAAAATTATGAACAAAAATGGCAATAAATATCCATCAACAATTACTTTAAATGCAAATGGATTAAATGCTTCAAACAAAACACATATGGTGTCTGAATGGATAACAATACAAGACCATTATATACGCTGTCTACAAAAGACTCACTTCAGATCAAAAGACACACACAGACTGAAAATAAAAGGATGGAAAAGGACATTTCATAAAAATGGAAATAAAAAGAAAAGCTGGGGTAACAATATTTATACCAGACAAAATATACTTTTTAAAAAGGCTTTAACAAGAGACAGGGAGGGACCCAGCAATTCCACTTATGGGTATTTATCTGAAGAAACACAAAACACAAAATTGAAAAGACATATATGTCCATATGTTCACTGAAACATTATTTACAATAGCCAAGATATGGAAGCAACAAAGTTGTTCATCAATAGATGAATGGATAAAGAAGAACTGGATATATATGATGGACTATGATTCAGGCATAAAAAAGAATAAAACTTTGCCACCTGCAACAACATGGATGGACCTAGAGCAGTGATGGCGAACCTTTTGAGCTCGATGTGTCAGTATTTTGAAAAACCCTAACTTAACTCTGTTGCCGTGTCACATATAGAAATTTTTTGATATTTGCAACCATAGTAAAACAAAGATTTATATTTTTGATATTTATTTTATATATTTAAATGCCATTTAACAAAGAAAAATCAACCAAAAAAATGAGTTCGCGTGTCAACTCTGACACGCGTGTCATAGGTTCGCCATCACTGACCTAGAGCGTACTGTGCTGAGTGAAATAAATCAGAGAAAGACAAATGACAGAAGATATCACTTGTATGCGGACTCTGAAAACCAAAATAAACAATCAGAACAGAAACAGACTCATAGATACAGAGAACATTTTGATGGTTGCCAGATGCAAGGGGGCTTGAAGGAATGGGTAAAAAAAGTGAAGGGATTAAGAAGTACAAATTGGTAGTTACAGAATAGTCATAGGAACGTAAAGTAGAGCATAAGAATACAGTCAATAGTACTGTAATAACTATGTATGGTGTCAGATGGGTAATAGATTTATCCAGTTGATCACTTCATAAGTTATATAAAATGCCTAATCACCTGCATCTAATATAATATTGTACACCAACTGTAATTGAAAAAAAATTTTTAAAAGCACACAATTCAATTATCTACACTAATAAAAGAGGAACATGCAAATTAACCATCACTCCGCTACACCCACCAGCCAATCAGAGTGACTATGCAAATTAACCCAACAAAGATGGTGGTTAATTTGCATTCGCAGGCAAGGAGCAAAGACTGAAGATGACTGAAGATGGCAGTGGCCACAGAGCTGGATTGAGCAGAAGGCTTGGATTGCTCCCAGCGACAGAGAAAGCCAAGCTTCCCGCTGGCCCTGGGCTCTGCTCAAGGAGGGGCTTGGGGCCTGGGCTCCACTCAAGGAGTGGAAAAAAAAAGGAGGGGCTGGGAGCAGCCGGAGCGGAGAAGCCAAGCCTCGCTGCTGCGGCTGGAACAAAGGCCTGGATCCCGGGTGTCGGAGAAAAACCGGTGCCGGCAGCCAGGGGTAGGAAGGCCTATTGAGCGAATCTTCGTGCAACGGGCCACTAGTTTTTAATATATTCACAGAGCTGTGCAACCATCACCACAATCACTTCATCACTTCCAAAAGAAATCCCATACCCATTAGTAACCAATGTGCATCCATTCCTCTATCCCACTCCTCTAAACCCAAATCCAGACTTAGACATGCACTAATCTACTTTCTGTCCTCTATGGATGTAAAGGTTATAAAAAAGACCAAATCAATGTGAACATTTTGACTATAAGTATATGCAATGTAATTTGAAGAAGGCCCAAGCAATGTGTAAGATTCAAGTATAACTTACTCTGCCACGTTCAACTTGTGTGGTCAACATTACAACCATGGAGGAGCCTTGTTCCCAAGTCATCTGCCAAAAATCTGTACAAGTGTGTGGTAATGGCCCTTGACAAGCAATGTACTGATTTATAATGCTAGAAGAAGGAATTTCCATCTTAAAAGTAAAAGACATGAAAATAAAAATCGTTTATATTAGTACTTTTTACTATTATCAAGCATATGAAAATCATCCATGAAATAATTGAATGCAACTAATCCCAATAAACTACAAAGTCAGTACAACAAATCTTTAAATAAAAATTTTTTTTAAAAAATCTTCACCTGAGGACATGCTTAGAGAGAGGAAGAGAGAGAGAGAGAGAGACATCAATTGGCTGCCTTGTGTGCCCTGACCAAAGATGGAACCCAGAACCTGGGTATATGCCTTGACCAGGAATTGAGCTGGCAATCTTTCGATGCACAGGATGAGCCATTCCAGCTGGTAAGCACAACAAATCTTTATCAACACTTTCTTATTTTACCTGTAGAAGAAATTTCTTGGCAACAGCCTATATATATATAATCTTCCAATTAATAGAAACAATAGAAACAGAAATCCAAGTATTTTTCAAAGCACTATTATGGTTTTAAGAGAAATTTTACAGAGAACCCAGTTTCAGAGGCAGAGACTTGGTCTCTAAACACTTACTGGTAAAATTTGTGAGGAGCAAAAGTTCTGCCAATTTAGTTTAGATTTTATATAATACTAGAGGCCTGGTGCACAAAAATTTGTGCACTCGGGGGGGAGGGGGTCCCTCAGCCCGGCCTGTGCCCTCTCACAATCTGGGACCCCTCAGGGGAGGACCACCTGCTGGCTTAGGCCCGCTCCCCAGGGGATTGGGCCTAAGATGGCAATCAGACATCCCTCTGGCAATCTGGCAGCCCTCGGGGAATGTCCACTTGCCAGCGGGGAGCAGGCCTAAACTGCAGTCGGACATCCTTAGCGCTGCTGAGGAGGCAGGAGAGGTTCCCACCACCACCGCTGTACTGGCAGCCATCAGCCTGGCTTGTGGCTGAGCAGAGCTCCTCCCACGTGAGAGCGCCCTGACCACCAGAGGGCAGCTCCTGTATTGAGCGTCTGCCCCCTGGTGGTCAGTGTGTGCATT